GTTATTAACCAGGTAAACTTTAACACAAACTCACACACTTAACACATATATATTAACAAACTGATGCTGGAGATTGGGTTTTCTAAAGTTTTATGTTCATGTTTTATATTATCTTTTTACTATGCACTTCGTTGAAGTAGTTAAACTTTAGATATCAATGAACTGTACTGTATGTTCTTTTTTTTTTAGCTGAATCTGTGAAATAATCTGTATTTATTATGATCTCCAACCAGGAGAACTGCATGACTACATTCATAGTGTTTGGGATCAACTACCATCAGGTGTTACAATAGAAAATATTTCTGATATTGATCAAATATGTGATCCATCTGTTAAAGGTGACATAATTCACAGCTGTGTTAAAACTGTGTGTGTGTTCAGGACAAACACTGTCTGCTTCAGCTGGGCTTGAATCATGTGGAGAATCTCCTGAAGCACAGCATCTATCCCATCATCATCTACATCAAACCCAAAGACAAGAAGGGACGCAAGTTCAGGTGCGGATCCATATCCGTCTGTCTCTTGACACTGTTGTCACAACATCAGCCCAACCTTGAGCTCTTGATGTCACGCAATCCTTAAACCCCAGTGAAACCTGTGTGTGTGTTTCAGGAAGCTGTTATCGGGCCACAGAGAGGAGGACCTGATGGAGGCCTGTCAGATGGAGGAGCTGCAGCTGGAGACTCTCCCTATGATGTTCAGCACGGTGGAGCCGAACGCATGGAGCAGCACGGACGAGCTTCTGGCCATCATACGCAGCAGCATCCTGAGCCAGCAGAGCGCCATGGTGTGGCTGGAGCAGGAGCGACTCCAGTAGAGACTCGATTAGACTTATTAGACTCCTAATGTGTTTCACACTGTTATAGGACAGATGGTTAATGACCATACCTGTCATATAGTGGTTATATCTCATATACTCCGTAATGTGAATCCACTAATTGGAAAAATTGCTGCTGCCACACATATCTAAAATAAATAACCGTGCAATTTATTTCCCAGCTGTTTACCTTCACAGACATAACCGACTGTTTTTTGTAACTCGTGTGTGTTTAATGTAAACTTGTTTGTGAATGAGAACTTAGTTTAGTACTCACATGCTGTGACAGCCGCTTTCTGTCTGTGTGCTTCGGATGTGTGCGCTCAGAAAACCGTATATCAGAAGTTTAAACTCATATGGTTTAAACCGCATGATTTCAGCGCGATAAACATGATAATCAGAACCAAAACAGGTGTTTTTTAGCAGGTACGAGTTGTAATGGCGCAGCTCTATTCTGGAAAAGGGGGCGGGGAGCAGCAGCTCATTTGCATTTAAAGAGACAGGCCTGACTTATATTACATATTGTGAAAAGGGGCATAATATGTCTCCTTTAAGTGTTGTTTTTAATGCTTGTGAGAGGAAAAGACCATATTTTAGATAAACACTTACATCTGAAGGAGCTTCAAGTATCTTGGGATTTTACATGTCATCTTAAAACACATACAAACAACCAGGGACATATCTGCTGTGAAGCCTGACCCACGAGAGGCATGTTAGCACTTTTGCTCCTTTGCATCTCTTGTTTTAAACAAGTCCTCTATATAACACTTTTTATAGACTCTTCATATTTAATATTGGTATTTGATGATGTGTAAATTGCATTTAAAAATTATACTTTCAATAAAACATTTGCAATTGGTTGTAAAAGGCGTTTTCATGCATGTTTGGCCTGAGTTTTGTTGTACTTGCACAGTTTTGACCAGAGGCGTCAGCATCGTGACGCGTCAGTGAATTAGTTTTGTGAAGCAAAAGTTTGTTACTCTCTCAGTGGCGCAAAAAGGGGAGTATGCAGTATATGCAGTGCATAGGGGTGCCGCAAGGAGGGGGCGCCATTTTGCCGAAATCATTCTGTAAAAATCTTTAATAAAACGTTATAAATAATCAAAAGCTTAGTTGTTAAAAAATAACGTAATGAAAAATTTTTATTTAATGGTTTTTAGCATTTTTAATGAGTTCAAAAATGTATAATAAACTGAGTACATATCAACCACTCACCCTTCGACACAATATTGGTACAGACAGAGTCACATGACCAAACTTAATAGAGGAGAGAAACGCTATGGGGCGAAGAACAGAAAAGACAAAGGGGAAAAAGAGCAATGCATTAAAATAAGGACAGCAATTTTCAAGTGAACTAACAGAAATTGGTAAGCTCTATAAAGACTCTAAATTCATTCAACATTTAACGTTGTTGCTTAAGATGACAACGTGATTAACGTTAATATCAGTTCATTTCTGAGTATCTGTTGCTCAAAAAATAAAAAAAGTCACGCTATGTTTGTGAATGGGCGTTTGATTTACATTTGAGAGGAACTGAGATTATTAACAAAGATACAAACAAGCCACCTTTCGCCGAAAAATGCCATTTTGAATTCAAAATAGGCCATTTGTGTGATTCAGGTAGATCAAGTAGAGTTTTTTTTTTTTTTTTTTGAAAACTCTTGTTACTTAATACTTCGTATAAAACAATGCTGAACTTTGACAAAGAGGTGATTTTTAAATGTTATAATAGTGCTTTTATAATATCTAAATATAAATCCAAAATCAAAGCATGTGAAAAGAGCTATATTACGGAGTGGAAATGGTAAATGAGACAATGAATGATACTCTGCTGCCATTTAGTGGTTATATATCATGACATTCATTTCAATAGTATTTGTATTTCTACCAGGTGGCAGAAATCGTCCACTTAAGCATGGCAAATTTTCCATGAATGATCTCTAAGTAAAAATGAAAAAAATGCAGATGAAATTATCTAACTAAAAAGCGAGCAATATTTCATGTGTTTGAAGCAAATTAGGCCTACTTTAAAAAAAATGTGTTCTACTGTCTAGGGTCAGCCATCAGTTTAGTTTAGTTTAGTTTATTAATTTATAAAGCACATTTCAAAACAACAAAAGTTGCAACCAAAGTGCTGTACAGGGGTATTAAAACTAAATTAGAACAAAATGAAAACAGAATTAACACACTGGATCAAAACCTTGGAGACAAATGTAAAAATATAAACACCCTCAATTAAAATGTAAAGAATTCAGATACGTTTTTAGGGAAAATTTCATAAAAGAAACAGAAGAGGACGTTCTAGTATTGAGAGGGAGACTGTTCCAAAGTCTGGGAGCAGCCACCGAGAAAGTCCGGTCACCTTTAGTTTGTAACGTGAGCGAGGAGCAGAAAGAAGAATATGATTGGAAGAACGTAAGGATCTTGAGGCATTGTACGGGACAAGAAGATCGTTGATATACTGAGGGGCAAGTCCATGTAAAGCTTTATAAACAAAAAGTAAAATTTTAAAATCAATCCGGGCCTCAATTGGTAACCAGTGGAGAGAGGCAAGCACAGGAGTAATATGCTGACACGTTTTAGTGCCAGTCAATAGCCTGACTGCTGCGTTTTGAACCATCAGCAAACGATTTACAGGTGAATTAGGCAAACCCAGGTATAAAGAGTTACAATAATCCAACTTTGAGGTGATAAATGCATGAATAACAGTTTCAAGGTCTTTCTTAGAAAGCATCATCTTGATTTTGGCAATAGATCTTATAGCTAAAAGAAACTACTTTTAACAATAGCACTAATCTGCTTATCGAAACTCAAATTGTAATCAAAAATGACACCAAGATTTTTGACACAGTCATGAACATTTGAAGATGGAGAACCAAGCTGATTAACTATGTCAGAGGTCAAATCTCGGTTGGGGCAAAGATAACAATTTCGGTTTTGTCGTTGTTTAGCTGTAAAGTTCATGTCCATCCAACATTTTATGTCACACAGGCAGTCAAACAGGCCAGACACAGAACCATTCTTATGGAACCATTCTATTCTCAGGAGTTAAAGGGAATGTTACAACACATTTTTCTTTTTTCTTTTCACTTTTCACCTTTTTTTCTATGGTATTGAAAATGGGGGAGGGGGTTCGTACCTTTGTCACTTTTTTCACCCCTGATGAGTTTGTATCCTTCCATGCCCAAGCTAGTTAATGGGCTTTTGGTCATTAACTTTCAGAAAGTTTTCTGTGGGAGTTCGTATTAGGGGCTAGAATACAGGGGGGCACCAACACTGATCTTGCATACTCCTCAGCAAATGTGCAGTTGTGCCCCTGCTTACACTCTTAAAAAATGTTTTGCAAAGCTGCTTCTAAATCTATTCTCAATTTAGTTGGCAATTCCATCAGCAGAAAACAAACAGCAGGATGCTTCTGCTCACTTCAAAGCCCGCTTACTTATGGTCATCACAATTTGGTTTAATTTGGTTTTGTCTGTGTATGTTTTTTTTTACTCTCAAAGCCGTGGAGCCCATTGACTGCCATTATAAGACTGATAGACTGCAACGGTTTGAGTTAAAAATCTTCGTTTGTGTTCTACTGAAGAAACAAAGTCACCTACATCTTGGATGCCCTGGGGGTAAGCAGATATACGTCACATTTTCATTTTTGGGTGAACTATCCCTTTAACTTATAGTTCCCAATCTGAAATTAATTTTTTTTCGTTTAGGTCTATTACTCCATCTAATAGCTTTAAAATGTAACGTGTAAATGTAATGCTTAAAATTTATTTTATGTAAATATAGCGACACATTCTCAAACATGTAAAGGCCTGCTCACACTCATAACAATATATTAATTAATATATTAAATGTATATTATTAATGTTGAAAACAGTTCTATACTTTTGTAAAAACCGTGATGCATTTTTTGTAAAGTTCAGAAGAACAGCATTTGTTTGATTTTTTCACAAATTAAGTACATACTTTAGTGCATAAGTAGGCGTTGGTGCGGAAATCACAGCGCCCTCTGCTGGTCTGTCAGCAGCGTCCACATTAAATGATAAAATGTTTGTATGACAGCCGTCTGTGACACGCTTACATCTTTAATAAACATATTAAGAATTTTAAAAGAGTCACTATTTATTATTACACCTGTTTAGCGTTCGGTGGGAGATGTGTGTGTGTGTGTTTATGTGTTTGTGTTTATGTGAACTGATACCCGGATGTTGATCGGCGCGGCGTCAGTGCGCAGCTGCAGGCCGGATTGAGGTGAGCAAAACCAACCCAAACATTTGCAAACACACTCAACATATATCACACTAGCAAAACGTACGCGTGTGTGCATGTGAAATAATATGTTAGATTCATGTTTGAAAGCTGTTTTTATTATGTCGCGAGCTTATCTGTTAGTACTGTATTTAGTTTTGATCCCTTCATCTGCTTACCGTCGAAATCCACTGAACAATTTAATGTATAGAAGCCTTACATAAACTAACGTGGCCTGAAATGATACAAGTAACACTATACTATTTGCTTCGAGTGCTATTAAAGCATATTTTTCTGTGCGTTTGAATGTTTGTGCGTAAATGCGCCATAATTAGCACGTTAGCTTGGCAAGTTTAAGCAGAAAGATGAATAAAACCGCTTTATGGCACATATCAGTAATGATTCATAGTTCATTTCAAGTAGTACATAGGTCTTTGAAGTACATTGGAGAACTAATATCGTAGCATGGTATTTTTACTATTTAACTTACCATCAGAGTAATGCTGTGCAGAGTGTTTGTGTAAGAAAGTTTGTAATCATCAACATCATTAACATTAAAATCTTTATTGTTTCATGACTGGGCTGGTGGAAATAGGTGCAAATGGAGCAATTTACAACATGCATGAGACTTTCATGGCATGAATACAGAACATATACTAACTTACGTGTATTGTATAAAACAGTCTAGTGTTATAATGTGATGTGTGTCATGTCATAGGAACAGGAAGGGAGCAGCAGTTCATGGAAGACAGTCACTGTAAGACAGGAGACCGCAGTCATCAGGAGGTGGGCAATGCTTTTGCTGGATAACATTGTATATACTCAAGAAAACATACATTAGCTGTATATGAATGTACAATCATCTAATGAGCATTTTTTTTATTACAGGGCACTGAAGACAGCACTAAAGGTTGGTAATTTACAATTAGCTTTTTAATGCTCAATTGTGAAATAGTCACACATGTACACTATCGTTCAAAGTTTTTGTGGTCAGTATGATTTTTAATGTTTTTGAAGTCTCTTCTGCTCTCCAAGGCTGCATTCATTTGTGTGAAAAGTATAATAAAAACTAATATTGTTAAATATTTTTACAATTTAAAAGAACTGTTTTTTTTATGTGAAGATATAGTACAGTGTAATTTATTCCTGTGATTTAAAGCTGAATTTTCAGCATCATTACTGCAGTCTTCAGTGTCACATGATCCTTCAGAAATCATGCTGATTTGCTGCTCAAGAAACATTTCTGATTATTATCAGTGTTGAAAACACTTGTGCTTCATATTTTTGTGGAAAACTTGATGCATATATATATTTTTTTGGATCTTTAATGAATAGGACGTTAAAAAAAACAGTATCTTTGAAATAGAAGTCTTTTATAACATCATTAATGTCTTTATATAATTTGATCAATTTAAAATATTAGTTCACTTCCAGAATAAAAAAAAAAAAAAATCTTATTTACTCACCTCCATGTCATCCAAGATGTTAATTTCTTTCTTTCTTTTTGAGGAAAAGATTCCAGGATTTTTCTCCATATAGTGGACTTCAACGGGGACTAACGGGTTGAAGATCCAAATTGCAGTTTCAATGCAGCTTTCAAAGGGCTCTACATGATCCCAGCCAATGAATAGGGGTCTTATCTAGCGAAACGATTGTCAATTTTCTAAAAAAAATACATAAACTTTATACTTTTTAACCACAAATGCTAATTTTGCACTATCTCTGTGATGCACATGCCAAGTCACCTTTATTTATATAGCACTTTTAACAATACAGATTGTGTCAAAGCAACTTTACAGTATTAATTAGGAAAATAGTGTGTCAATAATGCAAAATGACAATAGTAAACACTCAATTTTCAGTTAAAGGCAGTTCATCATTGAATTCATGTCATCATCCAGCTCAGTTCAGTTTAAATAGTGTCTGCAATCAAGTCGACGATATCGCTGGAAATTAAGTGTCCCCAACGAAGCAAGTCAGAGGAGACAGCAGCAAGGAACCAAAACTCCATCGGTGACAGAATGGAGAAAAAAACCTTGGGAGAAACCAGGCTCAGTCGGGGGGCCAGTTCTTCTCTGGCCAAGGAGAACTGGATGTGCATGTGCGTCTTCACGCATTACACTTTCACGTTGGAAAGGACATGCACGGTTAGTTCTTTGTCTGTGTACTTCGGTTCTTAAAGGTCGGGTAGGGTGAAAAACTCCATCTCATTTTCTCCTCCAACTTCAAAATCATCCGACATTGTTTTACCTTTTTTTGTAAAGGGCATTTGACTTTCTTTGCATGTTTGCTTTGTAAACACTGGGTCGGTACTTCCGCCTACGTCACATGTGAATTCGTGAAGTTGAACTAGTGCAAGACAAGCATTTGTGGTTAAAAAGTATATATATTTAATTTTTTTTTAGAAAATGACCGATCGATAAGACCCTCATTCTTTGGCTGGGATAGTGTAGAGCCCTTTGAAGCTGCATTGAAACTGCAAATTGGACCTTCAACCCCATTCATCCCGACACAGTCTTCTTACATATACTTGTCTAGTACTTTCAGTGGTTGTATGTGTGAGTAATTCACATTTGTGTACGCCAGTGTTTCATGTATGCTTGTTTGCATAAGAAGTCTTGATTTAAATTTCTCATGATAAACATCTTACAGACGATCTTACAGGTGCTTCTCAGGTGCCGTGCCTGAGAAGAATCTTTAAGAGGTTCATCATTTGAAAAAGTGATTTTTTTTTCCAACTAGTACTGCCCATATTAAGCTGCTTCACATAAGCAGTTTTTGAAGACCATTTGTGAAAAATCTGTTATTTTATTTAATATCTGTATAAATATTTATTACAATATATTACTTGTATGTAGCCAACTTACGCTAATTTAATGCAAATTATATTGTAATAGAATTATAATTCTATTGTAAATAGAATGGTAGTAGAATATTATAATATAATTGTAATAATTACCTTCATAGTCAGTGTTTATATACTGTGTTTTTCTTTCTGGTTAGGGTTAGTACACAGTCTTATATTTTTTAGGAGACACTCCAAAATAAATTAATTTGCTAAAACAATTTGCTTGTTTTTATTTAGCTGACAACTAAAAGCTTTTGGTAATTAAATTTGGTTATTTGGATAATTGAACTCCGTATGGTGCAGTGTTAATTTTGACAGCAAATTTTGATTTAGTTTTAGTCGTAGTCTTTTGACTAAAATGACATTTAGGTTCAGTCATATTTTAGTCATCTGAATTGTTTTTAGTTTTAGTCGACTAAATCTACAGTAAATTTAGTTGGCTAAAATCTAATGGGTTTAGTTACAGTGTAATGCATTTATTAAGTATTTCTCTAAAATATCCAAACTCATTATATAGGTTTGATATTAAGTTTTTATCATGATAGACACCAATTTAACTGCAGTGACACACTTTGTTAAAAATAAATAAAACCACTTCTCATAAAGAACAAGAACATGGTCTTCTTTTCAATGAAATACCAATGGTTTTATAGGCTAATTATGCATTCTTTATAACAACTTGTTTACCATATCCTTCATTCTTTCAAGCAGACATATTTATTTCTATAAATAAATTTAGATGAATCTTTAGGGATACTAAAGTGATTCAGTCAAGAGCAGTGAGCGATTCTTGATTAGCATCAATGACTTGGACAATAGCAACTAAATTAGGCTGCTATCCCTTTAAAACCGAATGCACAGCTGCAATGGATGCAATGTACTGATACACGTTCTCCCTACTGTTTACGTTCAGTAAATACAAATACTCGTCAAAACGGACAATTTGACAGCATTTTGTGTGTAATTCTCCGTTCATTTAACACGAAAGTGTACTCATGTGCTGTGTGAGACACACTTTCTGTGTGTGTATGCTTTGGTGTGTGCTCAGAAAACTGGACCGAATTGAGTTCTCTCTTGCGTCGTCAAATTTATCCATATGTGCTCTTCTCTTACTCCCACATTTTGTCAAAATGTCAATAGATTTTCGTCATAGTTTTTGTCATTCAAAACAAATTTTAGTTCGTTATCGTCTTCAAAATGTCAATAGATTTTCGTCATAGTTTTTGTCATTCAAAACAAGTTTTAGTTCGTTATCGTCTCGTTTTTGTTGGTGTAAAAAATGTCGTTGACGAAAATGATGACAAATTATTCGTCAACGACATTAACACTGTTCAGTTTTGGCCAAAAAAGTTTTTTTTGTTTTTTCTATGATGTTTCACCTGAAATTTTTGGTTGCCAATAGTTTGGTGCAACCCTACTTTTTATCTCTTTTCTAGCTTTCAAATATGTTGGTTCAAGGTTTGAAACGAAAAAAATTATTTGTAGGTTTGAAAATATGAGTGAAGTTTTCTGCCATTATGTAGAAGTCATTTTAAGAAATGCTGTCCATTGCTATGTATTATTGACTGCATTTCTTTTCAACTGCTGTCCTCCTGTCAGAATCGGGCTCATCTCCATCTGCCACATCCATTGTCACCCTTACCTGTGCTTCATCTCGACCGGGTCCCGCCGAAACAACCTCCCCCTGTCCTGTTGTCGGGGGTTCACCGGACCCCCCTGAGGGAGGGAAGAATGCAAAGTGGGCCGCTGTGGCCAACGGACAGCCCCCCTCCGTGGTGTCCCAGCGCTATATGCCCTGTGAGGTGCCCCCGCGCTTCCGCATCCAACAGGAACCAAAAGTGCTACTGAAAAGGGGCCAGCCACCACTGTCCTGCATGCTGCTGGGGGGCGGAAACGGAGGGGACCCTGCACCCCAGCTTTCCCTGCAGGAGCAAGCTGATGCCTCAGGTGGGTGAATGAAAAAGTTAATGGACACAGTTTTTTGGGGGGGCTTTTATTCTTTTCTGATGTGGTGTATTTTTCTCTTCCAGATCCAACAGTAGATTCCGTTTCTCTGCACTTATCGTCAGATGCCTCTGCCGCTCCCACTTATGCAAATTACACATGGGGGTTGAGCTCAGGATGTCAACCCTCCACTCAGGGAATGGACAAGGACAATTCTGATGTAGAGAAATGGCCAAGACCGGAAGACTCATGGAATAGTGATCAGACCCCACATTCTGCCAGGTTAAGGATGGATGAGTCTGATGGCCTAAGAATGGACACTTCTTCTCAACTATCTGAATATGCAGAAGTCAGTGCGGTAGGAGGTGCATCTTCACAGTCTGAGAATAAAGAATACATTAAAGAAGTCAATCAGCACTTCAATTCCAAGGTGTCAATGCTTTCTGGAGATCAGGAGGATACTCAAGGTCTAAAACCAAATTCCAACCCTGATGACCCTGATGGCGCAAACCACACTGCTAATGAGGAATCTACTCCCACACCCTTGAGTCCAGCCAGTTCAGTGTACCAGACACTCTCCAAGAACGAAGAGCGCATTACAGGGGATTGGTTGGAGCTTCAGGCTGGACCAAATCGTGGTGGAGATGGAGTTTCCAGAACGGAATTATGGGATACAGGAGAAGACCCTGTTGGGAAGAGAATTGATGCAGTAGGTGGAAGTTCAAGTGAAGGCACTGGCATCTCTCAGGGAGTGTGTGACAGAGACACGGTAGTTTCAAACAAACAGGCAGCTACAGGATGGACCTCAGATTTAGCAGTTGGAGCATCAAAAGAGGATGTGAGAGGGATCTCTGAGGTAAGCACAGATAGTTTACAGGACTCTTCAATGTTTGCAAACAGCGTGGCATCAAGAGATGGCAATCAGAAAGCAGTTGATGATTGTGATGGGTCTGAGGAAAAATCGACTGGCAGAGAAAGCAATGAGGATGGGATGCACGCCCCAAATTTGGTCCAAAGCCCCTCCAGAAGTCAGGCCCTCCACCCAGAAGAAGCCTTACAGAGCATGATCAATAACACTAACATGGATCCTAAAGTGCTGTGCAACACAGGATGGGGAAAGACTCAGATCAAGCAGAATGTCACCTGGGATTTTGAGGGCAACAGTGGGAATGTTAGCTGGGATGTAGAAGTGGACACCGACCGCAGTAAGGAGGGCTGGCGGGACACTGGGGATCTTTCCAGCTCCAAAATGCAGAAGCAGGAGGTTGGCCAGGTGGGTAGAGCTCAAGGGTGGCCCGGGCACGGAGACATGAGCATTGGGATTGGTTGCAAAGGGAGTGGTTGGGGAGAAGACCAGGAGGTTGAAGATACTTGCAGGAGGGAAGGGACGGGGTGGAACCAGGGTGGTGGAAGTGAGTGGACTCCATTACCAGAGGGTGGAGGCTGGAATGAAGAGAGAGACAGTGACCGCAAGAATCAGGATGAAGGGTTATGGGGCAGCCCGGAAGAGTCGGGACAGCGGAGTGGTGGCTGGGGAGGCAGCAGTGTCAAACCGCACCAGGGATGGGGCGAGAAGCTTCTTCCATCACAGATACCAAACAAACAAGCAGCACTTAAAAACCAAAATCAAAAACCGCAGCAGCAATCGCAAACCCAGCAGCAAATGGCGGTATATACAAAGGACTTGCAGGAACGGGGTCGTCCAGGAGACACCGATGACCAAGGTAAAGGGTCTGGCTGGACCTGTGGGCCCATCCCTCAGGTGCCTTCAGTTGTAGAGCCGAGTGGGTGGGAGGAACCCTCGCCACAGTCCATCAGCCGGAAAATGGAAATTGACGATGGCACATCTGCATGGGGCGATCCGTCACGCTACAACAGTAGGACCGTCAATCTGTGGGATAAGAAGACCAACAGCTCACAAGACCAACAGCAGTTGTCTGGAAGACAGGCTGGAGCGCTTTCTAAAAACTCTGGTAAGAAGGCAGCAGTGCATATTAAAGTAGTTAAATGGTTTCAAACCAGAAACATCCCATTCATTAATACACATTCACATTCCAGTTCCTGCAACATGGGCACGCAGCAGTGGTCCCTCAGATCCTTCTGTGGACAGCGGTACATCTGCTTGGGGGAAATCGTCTGATGGTTGGGGGGAATCCAGTGAACCAGGGAAAGGAGGAGGATGGGGAAACTCGCATTCCCATTCTACTAAATCTGGTAAGAGCCTGCCTAAGTGTACATGCTCAATGGTTGCCAAGACTGTGGTTTTTGCAAGGAATTGGGCTGCTTTTAAACTATTGCCAAGTTTTTTCCAGTGGGTTGAGGGTTTGACACATTACACCAATTATGCTTGTTTTGAAATATTTTACTTTACCAAATTTAAACTATTAAATGTTAAAACTGTGCCAAATGAGACAAAATAAGGAAAATTATGTGAAATCCTTAATGAAAACACATAATTTGATAATTATCACCATGCTTTGTTTACGGTTAAGGCTAGAAAGGATACGTATGGTGCTATTGGGCCCGAGTGTAAACAAGGTACAGCGCATGTGTTCAATGTCATCACGCCGGATCTGGGTCAGCGCCGGCGCCGCCAAACGCATGCGTCATGGTACTGTCATGAACGTGCGTCCACAAATGACGCAGTAGAGACAAACATGTGGAATAAAGTCATTATTTTTGTTTTCTTTGCAAAAAATATTCTCGTAGCTTCGTAACATTACAGTTGAACCACTGATGTCACATGGACAACTTTGTCGATCATCTTGGTACTTTTTTGGGCCTTGATCGTGGTAGTAACCTTGCTGTCTATGGGAGGGTCAGAGAGCCCTCAGATTTCATCAAAAATATCTTAAATTGTGTTCCAAAGATGAACGAAGGTCTTACGGGTTTGGAACAACACGAGGGTGAGTAATTAATTGCAGAATTTTCATTTTTGGGTGAACTAACCCTTTAATGTACTATAACCTCCAAGAAACACCTTATACATGGCCGTTCTCAAGTATAAGGGGCTTTCCTTGTAATTAATGCTTGGATAATTTACCCAGCACATGTCTGCGGTGCATTATGGATCTGACACGGCCACTCTAGTCAATGCTTGTGTTTATACCATCTGCCCTGCAGCACGTTTTAGAAGTGTTTCAGAAGGCTCCACACTGCTTTGCTAAAGATACACCCCTCCGTCTCCTTCGATTAAAAGTAATGGCTAGTGCAGTGGCTGCGTTATATGTAAACCTACCAGTACCCGTCACCTTGACTTATCGTGAGAGGTCGCGTTTTACGTTTTAGTCGCATAAAACAAAATGGAAATGCCGTCATTTCGCAATAGTTTTTTATTGACATTGATAAAATATCGCAAAAGTTTTGCGCAAGTCTGTAATGGGAACGCAGCTTGTGATTGGTTACAATGTTGAACAAAAACATTGTAAATGGCAACGTTTGATGCAATGAAGTAAATCTAAATATAGGCCTAATGCTGTGTAAGACTTTTCACAATTAATTAGCTGGCAAAATAATCATGATTATGGCTGCCATAATTACATAAACTCTTCAAGTGTGCCACTTGAGCTGATCTTCATATTTACTCTTAAGGTTCAAAGTCTATGCAAGAGGGGTGGGGTGACGAAGGCTCGAATGTATCGCGACACTCCAGCTGGGAGGAAGAAGACGGTGGCACTGGTGTTTGGGGCAGTCGGGGATCTCAAAGCAACACATACAATTCCGGGGGCTGGGGGCAGGGCCAGGGGGCCAGGAGACTCAACGCTAAGGTATGTTGGGAGCTTTTTTTGACCTCACCAAGACTTTTTGACTTGGGGAAACTATCAACTCCTAAGTAACCCTTTGGTTTGTCCCTTAGAGCCCTCTTAAAGGTAACAGTGGGGACTCATGGGTGTCTCCTGTGACTCGGCAGTTCTCAAACATGAGCGTTACGGTAAGATAGTCGTTACCACTGTGCTGATCTGCTCTTGTGTGTTGCTGCAGATCTGTAGAAAAATGCTGTATATTTTTGTCAGGATGAAGACTCCAGTATGGGTCACGATAGCAGGCACGACAGGAGAGGAATGAATGATGGTGAGATGCGGAGAGGCGGCAGGACTGGGGGAGCTTTCCGCTCACAGCCTTCCAAAGAGATGCCATGCGGGGAGACCGGACCTTACCTGGACAAGGTACTGAGACACATCCAATCCCATCTTCCCTGGAGGACAAAGAGAGTCACATCTTATAACAAAGATGGCATGACATATAGGCTAAATGCAGAAACCCTCTCGAGAACGAAAAGCAGCTGGACTTATTGCAGTCCTGAGTGACCCTGGAGCAACCTGAGGTTATGAGATCAGATTTATCTGATGCTACTCACTTTTCACGAGGGATAATATCAAATACTCTTCTGTTTTTTGTCTTATTTAATAAGCAGTTTCACTCGAAAGTGCTTTACCATATGGAATTCCATTGCAGCTTCCATTTTATGCTGGTTAAGTACCTTATTCAAGGTCACAAGGGTAAAAGTCCATAGCTAGATATTTAAAAACATTTTAAAGCCCTAAGCTTTAACTGTTGCTCCTCTTTGCTGTTGTTTTGAAGGTTGGAGGTCATAGTATGTTTGGCGGTGGTGGGATTCCTCCACTGAGAGGGATGCATCAGGCTGGTGTGCACCCCTTAAACCCTGTCCCTGGGATACGAGCACAAGTGCCTCACCAGTTCCTGCCTCCTCAGGTCAGTTTGTGTTCTTGGATTTAACACTGGGATAAATGGATGCTTATTATGGTGCTTTTCCACTGCGTGGTACGACTCTGCACAGCTCAGTTTGCGTTTCCACTGCAGTTTAGTATCACTTTAGAGTGGGCGGGATTATTCACATGTTGTTATAGTTGCGCCTACTGCCTCGACTCCTGAAAAACTTTTTCATTCCGCGTCGCCCCATCAAGCTCTGGCTAGATTCGCTCCTCTGCTATCAATAGAGGAATGTCAGTGGAAAACCCCCCAAAAGTGAACCGTACCATGCCGTACCATGCTGTACCATGCAGTGGAAAAGCGCCATTAGTGCACACTCATATCATGGTTCCTCTGTCGTTCTTCAGGTTCCTGGGTCAATGCTAAAGCCAGTGGCGCCACCTAGTGGAGGCATGTTCCCTCCACAGCTTTCCCCCCAACACATCGCCATGTTTGGTGGCATTCATCCACACATGCAACAGTTTCAACTAGTACGTATCTCATTAAGGGCCAGATTTACTAAACAAGGCAAAGTAGAGTTAGAGCGCAATTCCATAAATCCGCCGATGGGAGGGGAAAATTCTGCAGGTGATTTACTAACAATGCGCATATTAAAGAACACAAGACGCAGCCAGATAATTTCCATAATGACCAGCGCAATCTACCAAGAGCAGCGCAAATTAACGCCTGCTTTAAGACATGCTTTTTTTGTGCATTAAATGATGCCGCAAATACCAGTAATTTGACGAGCGCAAACGTTAGTAAATCGCGTTGCATGATTCATTTTAATACTCTCCTCCCATAAATTTTGTGTCTGAAAGGGAAACTCCTACAAATGTGTATTCGATAAGGTCAGATGCAAAAATAACTCCACGTTTTTTCAGCACTGATTCTTCACTGCGCGTCTTCAGTAAATTCTGACTGTGCTATTTTAACGCCAAAAGACGGTTTGCGCTGGTGCAAGCTGTTAGTAAATCTGGCTCTTAGTCCTCAAATATAACGTAAGGCGTTTAAAAAAGCGTTGTTTTAATGTTTTATATACATTCTCTATCTCAGGCCTGTCAGCTCCTATTGCAACAACAACAGCAGCAGCAGTTTCTGAATCAGAGGAAGTTTCCTCCTCCTGTAAGACAACAGCACGACCCGCAGCAGGTACAGCATAACCGCTCAACCAACTAACACCACAGTGCCCCCTACTGACTCAACCCTGTAAAGCCTGCCGAATCAATTTGATAAAGACATTTCTAAGGCTTTTAAATAGGGCTGCCCCTTATAGTTGACTAACCGTTAGTCGACCAGAAGAGGCTTGGTCGACCAAAATTATATTAGTTGCTTGGTCGCAGAAAAAAAAAAAAAAAAAAAATCCACATTGGCAAAGTCACGCAGATCGTTAACAGCTAGTCTATGTGGTAGGCTAATACAATACATCGGGCAGGACATCCAAACACTCACCTATCATACATCGACCTCAAATATGGCTTATCATCTGTAATATGCAAGTAGCAGCAACTTTACATGGCCACTCAATCTAATGTTAACCTAGAAAATGTGCGCTATTCAAGTGTCTGTGCGGAATGTGGAAGCTGCAGTAGCGTTTCGCTGCAGCCAGGACAGATGGAAGCGCTGGTGCGGTCGCTGTCTCTTAAAATATTCCCTCATTTTTGGTCATACAGATAAGAGTAATACAACTTTCGATTCTGTAAAGACTCTACGTTTAATTGTGTGCACTCACAATAACAACAAAACATTGCGCTTTTGTAAAATAATGAAAGCAAACAGGATGCGCTTTCTGCCGTCTCGGTCTCTGTGAACTTGAGCGCGAAACTCCAAAACTCTGTACACTTGGGTTACACCGACATTAAAAATATATATATTGAGAGTGAAATGTCTACTTTCAAATTAACCAATTCAAATGGAAAACAAATATTCTCAAATTATGTAATCTGTATGAAACATTCATACAGGCGCATCCACTACTGCGGAAATTACGAGTCTGCGTCGCCGAGTTCATCTCTTAAACTGAAAACAAAGAAAGCACTAGTTTATCAATTAATTATTTAAATGATAATGCAGCCTCTTTACTGTTTTTCCCTGACACATTCATAATCATTACTTCTGCCGGTGTGCCGTGGCAAGCTTTATGCGTGTGCTTGAGTGCTTATTAAGCAATGTGGGCAATTAAAGGCTTTTTATTATGATTTAAATGATTTATTAATAAATAGCGATTAGTCGACTAATGCGTAAAATGAATGACTACTAGTCGACCAGAAAAATCTTTAGTCGAGGGCGGCCCTACTTTTAAATAATCCACATGATCAAAACTGTTGCACACAAATCTACTACATGCTCTATGTCGCCTGATTGATAACTTAAACTCTTTTATATCCAAAAATTCTTGAAGAATACTTTTGAAGACAATAAAACCTGTTTTCATTGATTTTCTCTACTTGGCATGCTGGCAGATTTACACTTTATGTAAATAAAGAAGTCAATACAACTCTACATTCAAGATGAAATCTATGAAAACAAGTTTTAATATCTTATTCAGTGTTGCTTCTAAAAGTAAATGTTTAGATATTTTAACTGGAATGCAAATGCGTTGAAAGAACTTTCTGTCCGTTCCACTAATGTGTGAATTCTTTGTAGCTGGCGCGGATCATGGCAATCCTACAGCAGCAGGGTGCTGGTGGGCCTAAACTCTCACCGCCACCCATGGGAGGACAAGTCCCCAAACACCCAGATGCACATCTCCATCCGCTGGGCATGAATGCCCACAAACAGCCTGATGGACCAGTGCACGCAGCCATGGGAGGATCTGAGCTGCACAGCAAAGCTCCTGCTGCTTTCACAGGTGAGGACGTCACCACCTCAAACACACGAATCACACATTTTGGACTATAAAGCATGTTTTATTGGTATGTGCTAATTTAAACTATATTAGGGAATGGTTTTATTTAAATTTTTCATTAAAGGTATAGTTTTTTTTTTTTTTTTTCTGGAAATTTACTCACCCTCAGACCTTCCAAAATGTAGATGAGTTTGTTCATTGGAACAGATCTGGAGAATGCAGCATTACATCACTTGGTCACTAATGGATCCTCTGCAGTGAATGGGTGCCGTCAGAATGAGAGTCAAACAGCTGATAAAAAAACATCGCAATAATCAACAAGTAATCCACACCACTCCAGTCCATCAATTAATATAATGTTAAGGGAAAAGCTGTGTGTTAGAGAACTCATTTTAACCGTAAGCAACACTTTCAAGTTAAAAAAAAAAATCTTAGTCATGGATTTGTTTCTTACAAACACACAGCTTTTGGCTTCACAAGATGTTAATTGATGGACTGGAGTGGTGTGAATTACTGTGATGTTAAATTGTTAAAATTGTCGATTCAATTGGTTAGACATCCTTTTTGATTAGTAAAATGTAATTATTATTTAATTATTAAAAAGTAAAACCCGGAATTTGAGCGAAATAAAGGGCGATTTCATAGGCTCCTATGAGTAAGTGTTAAACTCTGTGTTTGTGTGTTCAGGGCCGGTCAGGCAGGCCGGTGGCTCCTCGTTCTCTCAGTATGATGTGTTGGGCGGCAGCTGGCACAGAAGCTCAGGTGGGAAAGTCGATGCGTCTCCTGCCAACCCCACCTGGCCTCCAGGTAACATTTAAATATTTTTATTAGTGATTTCCCTCCTTTGAAATGGTGAAATTAATTAAATTGTCTTGACATGTCTTGTATATAATATATACACACACACACACACACACAGACACATACATACATCTAGTTTGTTCCTTCTCAAAACTAGTAAACATGACTTTCCTTCCTTGATCACTGATACAATCCAACACCTTGCTCTGGCCCACATACTGTGAAGAATGATGGCACTTGGGCGGTCCGCTCCTGTTTGCCAGATTTGATAAAAGCTGCAGCCCATAAGTCATTTATTTAATGTTCTCATCGCAGTCCAGCTCAGCATTTGATGTCTGATATCATATGAAAGTCTCCCAACATCAGGAGCCCCACAGTGTGCAAGTGTTTGACTTTCACATGTATTTCGTATGTTGTCTCGCTCAGAGTTTCAGCCGGGCGTCCCGTGGAAGGGCATCCAGAGCCCTGAGCCCGAGCCTGACCCCTACACGAGCCCTGCGGGAATGCTGGGATCCTCCGTGCTTAGTGATACCGAACATCATCTGCTGCAAGACAACACAGGTACTGAGACAGTGAGCGTTCACGGTAACCATCGTCTCGTCTTCAGACAGAAAGACCCGTGATGACCACATGATGTGCATCGCACGGTTCCTGTCTGATTTACTGCTTTACGTAACGAGTCATGTTTACTAGTTTTGAGAAGGAACAAACTAGATGTTCACCAGCACAACTTATTAAAATGTCTGTCTTAATTTTTAATGAATCTTATATACAATTTGATTGTTTAATGAACAGAACTCATGGAAATTACTTGAATACATTTTTTTTTAGGTTTGAGGTTTTCCCCACTAATGGAAAACTGAAATGAATTAGACATTTTGAAGTTGAATATTGAAATCTAATTTAGGATTGTTCCCAGGCCTTTTACAGAGTTTAATATATTAAAAAAAAAATGTTAGTTCTGTTAATTATTTAAATGTTATTTTACACAGAATTTTTATGTATTATATATATGCAGGTTTTTAAGTAATAAAAATAAAGTATTTTATATACAATTTAACCCTGTAAAGCCTGACATATAAAAATTATAGTTAGAGAAATAAAATGTTTAGAATTGGAGCAATTTATTGAACCTTTAGACAAAGTATTAAAGTTTGTATAAGTGTTTTTATATATATATATATATTTGATAGGCTTTTATGGCTCGCATAGTCTGGTGTAGTGAGAATATGGAGGGGGAAAAAACAGCTCTGTTTTATTCAGACACAATTTAAGCAAAAATATGCAAAATGTGCTGATATTTATATGATGAAACTCTTGTAATGTAAATTATTGAGATCTTTATAACAGTATAGCAGATACTTGCATGAAATTATATAAATATCAGTCGTCACTCTATATATCTCCAGTAATATGTTAGTAAGATGAGATTTAAATGATCCAGGCATATAATGCAATTCAATGCAATGATGATTGAGAGATGAAGAAATTAAACGTTCCTCTGAAGATGTGAGATGTTTTTGGAGGCTTGGGAAGATCATTCCTCCACTGAGGAACAGTGAAAGTAAAGCTTCTGGAAAACAAACGTTCCTCAAAAGATCCTGATGATCAGATTTGAGACGAAATTTGCCAAACAAATGATTGGAGAATCGAGTAAAGCCGAGCTGCTTCAGTCCAGTAAGTGTTCATATGGAAATATTACTAAAGTTATTCTGATGTTTACTTGATAAAAATCAGTAAAGATTTGACAGCAAAGAAACGTGAAGCACCAGCTGAAGGTGGATGTTTGTACAATTACACTAAAAGAGTTTTTACTTGATTAAAAAAAAGCATTAACTGTCAATCAGGTGACAGAAGGCATGTAGTAGATTGTGAACAACAGTTTTTTTTTTTTTTTTCAGAGGCCTTAGAAATTGGTTTTGCTATGCATACTTGAAAAATGTAACCGTGTTTGACCGTCTGTCTGTTTGTCTGTGATCAGGGTCAAACTCTCTGAACACCTGTATGCCTTCACCTGGTGCCTGGCCGTACAGTGCCTCAGAAATGCCCCTCACTGCACACGGCACCGGTAATGCTGACTTAAATATACTAATTAAGGTTTTAATGAAAATGCACAAAGGTTTTTAAGTCGTTTGAATTGCAAGGACAGTTGGTAACATTTCGCATTACCTCTTAATGTTTCCAGCTAAATACTCCGAGCTGAAGTCTAGTTGGCCTCCGGAGCCCATTGGACACGGCAAATCATGGCGGACCAATCGGAACCCTTCTCACCTGTCCCGCCCCCCTCCGGGTCTCTCCAGTCAGAAGCAGCCGTGGTTGGGGGAGGGGCCTTGGATGCCCAGGACTTGGGGGGGCGGAGCCAGCTCCCCGGAGTCGCCCTTTAAAGCAGGTACTGCAAACTTGGGTTGTAACGGTATGAGATTTTCACGGTATGATAATCGTCTCAGAAAATATCACGGTTTCATGGTATATATTAAACAATAATTCTTATCAGTAACAATGACTCTTAAAAGAATAAGAACAAGTTATTAAAAAATAAAGCTATTAGCCTTATCTGTATCACACTTTAACATTTTAATTAATGTTTTAAAATGTTATCAAATGAAAAGTTAACTTTTCAGAGGTATATTAACAACAGAGGTATATTAAGTTAAAACATGGACAAACATGTTCCTTAAAAATAATGTTTAAATAAATTAATTATTATAAAGAATATTATTATTAGGGATGCAACGATGCAATTTTTTCAGATTCGATCCGATCCAGAAAATTCTGAGTATTGGCCAATTCCGATCCGATCTGATACAGCGCAGTTTTTTTTTTTTTTTTTAAATCAGTGTAGAATTTCTATACTACCCGATCTGGCAGAAAATGCCAGTATCGGAGCCGATACCGATCCTGAGTATCGGATCGATGCATCCCTAATTATTATTGTTTTTATTATAACTTTTAAGTACGTTGTACAATGATAATATATTTCATAACTTCAAGTTAAATCAAACTTTTATTTTGACGGGTTGTAGCGGACGTTTCAGAGTGTATTTGACAATGGTTTTTCTCAAATAAAACTAGGAAATGTTTATTTAGGTTTTCTCTCAGAGCAGCTCTGGTGATGTTCATGGTTATGGAGACACTGAAAACACCAATAGCGTCATGCATACTTCAGTGTGTAGTAGATAAAACAGCGTCACTCAGAGACATGCAGAAACAAGCTGATTATTTAAATAGCAGTCTCTTTGCGCTTTAATATTCACAGACACATATCATATCTACTTCTGATTTATCTATCCATCAGATTGCATGTTTTACATGACATCTTCGTTATACTGTATATTCCATGTTCATGACTAGGGTTGGGTACTGAAACCCGGTATGTACTAGAACCGAATCAGAACGCAGATTTCAGTGCCTCATTTCAGTGCCACTTAAATGCTTGAGCGATCGATTGAAATATTTGTTCCATGAAAAATAATTTCCCGACTGAGAAAATTCACGAACGCAAGTCGGAAAGCTCTAACAAATCCAACACATCTTTGTAGTGACGCTAGTGTCCGTGTTGTTTTCACATTCCGACTTAAAAGCATAACTCGGGAAATGAGAGCATCCGAGGAGCGCGTGAAAGCAGCAATTACACTTTCTCTGATGGCAGCAGGTAGATACCGTTAGCTAGCTCAGCTAAACATGCTTAAATTAAAATGCCTAAAGCTAAACTTCCCTTGAAATGACTTGCAATCGAGGGCGCCCTCTGGCGTCCAGTATGAATGAAACAGACATTAAATGTGTTTATAGCGCTCAATAATGGCCAATCGATCCTATTTTGGGTATTTTTTATTTGTATTTTTTTTTAAGTATCGATTTGGCACCGGTATCGGAAAAAACCCAAACAACACCCAACCCTATTCACGACTGCACCGGATTCCCTCTGCATCATGGAAATCATACGGCCTTAACTTAACGGCCTTGACACACCTTTATCTGCACGCAGGGATTGTGTCCGCAAATATGAGCGAACATGTTGGATGTATTGCCTGCTTTTGCAGCCACTTTGCGTCCACATTTTTTTGCAAATTGGATCCGTCCTGAAGGACAACCCCATGTTTGTTTTTTTTGTTTTTTTATATATATCCCCGAAGTATTCCCATACTGCAGTCTCTGCCATTTTCTCCTCTGTAAGTGCGTGTAAGCAGCCAAGTGAATGCAGAGTGAAGCAGCCAAGCGAAAATATGTTGCATATGCGTGGGTAAGATTTTTTTTTTTAAGCCGTAGATATGCAAATTTTTATGGTATGATAACCGTGCACGTTCAAACCACGATAGACCGTCATACCGGTATATCGTTACAACCCTACTACAAACTCATATGTGAGGAACAGATGTTTGTGAAGATCAACCTGTTCATGTCTCGTGATCTTCAGAGTGGAGCGATGGAGGAGCTTCCATGGGAAAATCATGGCTGTTACTGCGAAACCTCACGCCACAGGTGTGTAAAAATACACACACACACTACTGTTCAAAGATTCTGTTTTTAAAAGAAGTCTCTTGTAAATAGTAATAATTAGAGCCCGACCGATATGGTTTTTTTTGGAACCGATACAGATATTTGGGAGTAAAAAAAAAGCCGATATTGAGATATCGGGCGATATTCTTTGTGTATATTATAGTACAGTACCAGTCAAAAGTTTGGACACTTTCCCATTCGTGTGTCCAAACATTTGACTGGTACTATATATAGAATACAGTATATACATAAACGGAATATATATACATAAACAAATTTTTTGCAATGATCACTCAAATGTGGTGATGAAACGCTTATAATGACGTGACAAAAATATGTAATGATGGAGGCAGGGCATTTAACAATAAACTTTATTCAAAATGAGTCTGACATCAGTGCACTGAACAGTAAAGTTGAAGTTTATTCAACTTTAATTCAATTCCATTCAACTTTATTCCGTTGAAGTTTATTTCACTCGAATAAGACAACGCTTGAATGCTGCTGCCTGAACAAGAGACCTCCTTACTGAAGTGAAAGTGTTGGCTGGTGTCCCTATCTCGCAAACGTGCCGGCGGATCTCCACCGAATTCGGGGGATCCTTTCAGCTCGAGGAGCCCTCTCGAACGCCACCCTCCACGCGTCGGTAGCCCCCCGGGATCGCTAGATCGGTCGGCGCCGGACCGCGAATTTAACCGCCCGTAACTCCCGAACCCTGGGGGCTATCGACACGGGGGGGGTCTCATTCGAAAGAGGGCCTCGAGATGTACACTCGATTCGCGTTCGAGAGGGTTCCTCGAGCTGAAGGGATCCCCTGAATTTGGTGCGGATCCGCCACGCCGGTATGGAGATATGGCCGTTCAAAGTTTCAATGGTTTTCCAGACTTAAGCTTTAAAGCGTTTCATCCAGGTCGCCAGTAGCAAACAATGGAGCGCACTCTGCTGGACAAACTAAGTAATTACACCATTTCAAGCATTTTATCTGTGTTATGTTCTGTAAAAAAAAATTTCATATCGGCGGTGTATCGGCGGCATATTCGCAGATACCGATATATCGGCGACAGGCTCATATCGGCTGATAATATCGGCTAAACGATATATCGGTCGGGCTCTAATAATAATATTTCACTATGTTTTTAATTGTGGTTTTGATCAAATAAATGCAATGATGGTGTGTATCTGAATCATTTGCTCCTACTTCTATGTAATTTTAAGAGGTTTTACTGTATTTGTCAGTGTATTTAGTATAGCAAAGCATCATACTTCTGTGATTTTTATTTTATTTTTTTTTGTGGTTTGTGTGCAGATCGACGGCTCGACCCTGAGGACGATCTGTCTGCAGCATGGCCCTCTGCTGACCTTTCACCTCGGCTTGACACAGGGCAGCGCTCTGATCCGCTACTGCAGCCCTCATGAAGCCGCCAAAGCCCAGAGCGCCCTGCACATGTGAGTCACACTAACACAAATATGTGTTTACTGATTATATGCAACCCTGGACCACAAAACCAGTCTTAAATCGCTGGGGTATATTTGT